CCAACGGTTAAAAAGTTAGAGCAATTTCATAGTGTGGCAATTTCATCGTGGACACCCTTTATTCTAATATCTATATGCAATCTTCACACTGCCGTACTCTAACGGAACTATCAACTCCATCTATCGTATAAAAATTACCACTACAGTCTGTTATTTGAAATTAGCATCTTCAACTATGTAAATCGTTGACTTCACGTAGAAGTAATACTAAAGCATATAGTCAAATGAAAAGCATGTTTAAAATAAAAACATTTATATTTGGTCACATATAGTTGTCAAATCAAACAAAAATATCCACGTTTATTTTCAACACGGATATTTTTAAAATAAATGTAACATTATTTTTTTTATACGTTATTATCAATGTATTCAAATATGGAATACGTTTGAAATCAACCTAGTTTATGTTTGTGGCTAGAAAAAAAAACTGAGTTTACGTTTAAATTTATCTCGAATATTTTTGTTTCGACGGTAAATTTTTCTGCGTGCGATAATCCCGAGCAATCTGATTCAAATCAGGCCTTCTATAATGTTTAACACCATCCTCGACACTATCATAAAATTCATTCTCGGATTCCTCGTTCAAATCCGCAATACTTTCAAAAACAGAAACTGTATTCGGCGCTGCTAATAGTTCTTGCGTAATACGAGATATAGAGGAAATGTATGTAGTGTCGGCCTAAGTGTCCCTAATTTGGGCCCATACATAAATTCAGCAATCGACTAAATTTTCAATAGCAACCAAAAATATCCATTAGTACCGTCCCAATGACGCGTTCATCTAGATAAAATTGATCAATAGCAGATTTTTAGCGATGGGCCCAATGTTAGATCCATAGGCCAACATTAGAGCCATTTCTCCTAGATAGATTCTCTTCATCGATTTTCTCTTTCGTGAATACTGCAAATCGACAGTGAGCATGCATAAGGGCGAATACGCGATGATCGATTCTCTTTATCGAATTTCTCTTTGCATTGCTACAGCTAAGCGAAACAATTTTCTAGAATTTGTTCAATGCAGAGTAGTAACAGGTTGTATTGGCTATCAAAAGTAACAGCAAACGCACCGAGAAACGTTAAATCTAGCGAGTTATTAACAAAAGAGAAAATCGACGAAGAGAATCGATCATCGCGTATAGGCCCTTATGCATGCTCTCTGTCGAAATGCATTTCCCGTTGAGTGTATACTCGCTATATTCATAGTCATAGGCGGATAGAATTTCGATCTATCAAAAAGCGGAACAAATTCAATATATTGTACAGGGAGCGTGGTGAATTTTTGCAGTAAATGGCATATTTGAGAAAAAATACACCAGTTAGTTATTCTAGCAATGAATTTTGTGCGATTTATTTTCTTTCGCAACATATGGAAGTTGTAAGTAAATTTATTCAAAAAAATTGCCTTCCCTTTCGACGACTGTAGTTAGACGCTTCCGGAAACTGCAGTATGCACGTTTTAAAATGTTTCGATCCATAGATGTCATCACTGCCTTGATTTTAGGTTTTAGCGACTTAAGTGTCATTCAAAGTGTTTTTTATGTTACTTCATACGCGAAGTTAACGATTTTCAGAGTTGGTTGGAAATGCTAACATGAAGCTTTAGTGTGATGATTTATTAGCTAGAGAATGATCTTTAGAAGAATGTAGGTGGATAGTTCCGTTAGAGTACGGCAGTATGAAAAATGAATAGAAGTTGAAAATGAGCGAAGGGCCATTAAAGCGACAGTTTTCAAGATGACGCACATTTTTGCCTAGCCCGTACGATGTACGCGGGGACTTGAAGTATGTCTCCAAGTCCACAGGCAAAAATGTGCGTCCCTCTTGTTGCTCATAAACTGACTGCGGCTGTGGAATAGTTCTAGCGACGTTTTCATCACTACCTAAAGCCCCACGTCGCGAGAGCATTTCCAGTCGATGGTGTGTTATAATGCAGTTCTTCTTTACCCAACTATTGTGTTGCTCCTCTCGTCATGACCAACGTGATCATCTCAGAGAGAAAGCAGTAGGGTGGTTGTTGCGTGCTGTACCATCATCAGCATTGTTGACGGCTACTCCCGCCTTGAGTTGTTACATTCAAAGTGTTTTTTATGTTACTTCATACGCGAAGTTAACGATTTTCAGAGTTGGTTGGAAATGCTAACATGAAGCTTTAGTGTGATGATTTATTAGCTAGAGAATGATCTTTAGAAGAATGTAGGTGGATAGTTCCGTTAGAGTACGGCAGTATGAAAATTGAATAGAAGTTGAAAATGAGCGAAGGGCCATTAAAGCGACAGTTTTCAAGATGACGCACATTTTTGCCTCCTGTGGACTTGGAGACATACTTCAAGTCCCCGCGTACATCGTACGGGCTAGGCAAAAATGTGCGTCATCTTGAAAACTGTCGCTTTAATGGCCCTTCGCTCATTTTCAACTTCTATTCAATTTTCATACTGCCGTACTCTAACGGAACTATCCACCTACATTCTTCTAAAGATCATTCTCTAGCTAATAAATCATCACACTAAAGCTTCATGTTAGCATTTCCAACCGACTTAAGTGTGGTATGAGGGGTTCTATTGGTATCCCGTTGGACGACGCCCTATACAAAATAATCCAACGGATTGATATAGGGACTGCTTGGGGGCCAAATTTCTTCCTCCCAAATTTACGAAATATTTTCCGTAAGCCATCTCTTATTTCCTTTTTAGAGAGTTGTAGAGATTTTTCTCCTTTAGCTTACTTAAATCTTTGGTTTTTATTAGTTAGGTAGGTTCCGATTCAACACATTGTAGTTTTTTTTTATACCTATGATCTTGACTTTTTTACCTAGGGGATGAGTACTTAAGGGGGTTAGATTTTGATAAGTTCTTTAGTGGGAATGACATTGATGAAGACTGCACATTGTAGTCGAAATACGTATCTGTCATGGATACCAAAATTAATTAAGTGGAATTAAATGGAAGATAACCTTTTTTGCTGTTTTATTTAGCATTCCGCTAACAACCCAATTTCATTACTTCATTAAAAATGGTGTTAGTTTGTGTAGGCGAGCCTTGAGTCACGAGAAAACAGTTTCCGAGATTTTGTTCGCAATAGCTGATGTGCTCTTTTCTGTTGTTGGCAAGGTTGCAAAGACTCATTTCAGCTAAAACAATGTTTTTCTAAATTATGAAATAATTAGATGCCATGATCAAATTTTGAATTGGTAGGATACAAGAAGAGGTTGCAAAGAATGTGTTTGACATATTAAACCTGTTTATTTCACTTCATGAGAGTCACAATCAGCGATTTTTCACAAACTCACGCACTCACTCACTCACTCACTCAGCGATCAGCAAATCGCTGATTGTGACTCATAGAAAGCAAAATTTATAGAATTTTATGTTTCCAACGCATACTTTGTAACCTCTTCTTGTAAGTTACAAGTAAAACATGCCATCATACCATCTTTTGGTTTTATTATTTCGAAAAACATTATTTTAGCTGAAATGAGTCTTTGCAACCTTGGTTGTTGGTCGTGATTTGCTCGATTGGTTCCGCTATTTGACAGCTCAATTGGTTCCCGAGATTCTATCCGCCAGACTATGAATATAGCGACTATAGTTGAGTGTGGTGACTCTGACTAATTCGTTTGCACTTCCCTGAAACTATGGAAAACGAAGAAGTAAACGATTAACAAAATGTCAACAACAAAACAGTGATGCCGTTTTATATTATATTTTATTTTGTGTCATCGTGTGCCATGACGTACCGATCTGTGTGCCTCGATGTGTTTCGGTACAATGTACAGAGTTGATTACCCTTAACTAATGTTCGCACCACCACTTATAGCGGATAGCGTTCGGTAGAATGATTTACATCACCGTGGTCTGAGGTTTCATTCGATCAGAGGATCATATTTTTGTACAATTAGGCAGGTTACGAGTATGATAAAAATGAATCTCTCATGTGAGTTAATTTAGATGCTTCGCGTTTTACGTCAAATTTATAGACAGGACATGTTGACATGCTCCTAAAGGAAAAATGAAAGCAACGATGATGTAATGTTTAAATCCGACTAAGGCTCGAAATGACTGTCACCGGGTGCTGATCTGCGAGATTAACAGAAGGGGCCTGAAGGGGCAATAGGACCGGCTTTTCTCAAGGTTCCTCCTGTCATTACTGGTTGTCGCATATACTGCCTATAATCGCATATCAGTCCCATATGGAACAAGTAGGCATTGAGAAATGGCTGTAAAAGTTACGAAGAGCAATTCCCATATAAATATTTGAAAAATCATAGTAAAATTTATTAATATTTTTTTCAAGTTAAAATCAGATGCATTAAAAATTGCATGTTTTGCAATATCAGTGAAAAATATGGCAACTCAAAAAGCAGAACTGTAATTTGTTCTCTGGACGATTGTATTTCAGGATGGGGCTGATATGCGATTACTTTGCTTGATGGGACAAACTGACTTGATGTTGTTTTCACATCTTTCACGATCAAAGTCTGTAGAAAGTAGATGCCAATTGACAGAGGCTCGCAGTGGATAGCGTTGTTACCTCAAAATGGACGAAAATTCATATGGGACTGATATGCGATTATAGTCAGTATATTAGTTTAAACAAAATTCGTTCGAAATCCTACTCGGCAGGGAAGCATTGTGATATTGCATTCAAGTGCCGACAAGCCATTTTTTCATCGCTTTTTATTTTCTTGCAGTTTTCTTTCAGTTTTTCTGTTTTCACTTAAAAGCTAGTTTCTTCTGTTTTCATCTTCTTTTCCTTTTTTCCATTTCACTTAGAAGCTATAGAAGAGTTTTCTCTTTTTTTTTTCTTTCTCTGTGTTTCACTTAAAAGTAATTTTCATGTTTCCTTCTTCTCCTTCTTCTTCGCCTTCTTCTTGCTTATTTCGACATTTTGCGCTCAATTTTATTTCTTTTTTTTTCGCTACATCCCATTTCCTCTTATCCCTACTCTCCGCTAAGTTTTTTTTGTGGGTTTATTTTTGTAAACCTTTTTTGTTTGCTTTTCACTTTGTTTTTTTTTGTATTTTTTCATCAAGTTTTTTGTTTTGTTTTGTTTTCATCACTTAACCCTAAAAAATCTTTTTTTTTTCATCTAGTTTTTCATCATTTTTTAATGCTAAGTTCTTTTTTTTCATTTAACATCATTAACCCTAAAACTCAATCCGTCTCCACTGGATTTCCATTTCTTTCTTTTTTTTACGTTTTCTCTAGTCGATCGATCGTGGGCATTGTTTTCAACTCTTTTTGTTTGTGTTTGAATTTCGTTTAATCGCGCTCAATTTAAAACGTTTCCTCTTTTATCGAACGAAACGGAAATTTGGGAAACAAATACAACAATCGGGAGGGAAAAACACTTCATGATTATTGACCTCTACCGGCCGTCCTTTCTCTACATCTCGCATCGCGTTTATTTTTCTTGTGCATATAATGAGGTAAATTTGAAAACAAAAACAGTTTAAACGAACACGGTCAATGAGAGTATCTCAGTAGCTGAGTCGACTCAAAAGCGCAAAAAGTGAGATTACTGTTCAGAAAATGAGTCAAATTGTCCACACTTTGCCCAGGAAAAACTGCTTCTCGACTCTATAATCAAGAAGTTTTTCCTGGAAAGTCGAGGAAAATGTTACTCAACCCACTTTTTGCCCGTTGGAGTCGAATTCGACTCAGCTACTGAGTTAGGGTACTCTCAGTGGCCGTGAAGGTGGAAGCCCCGCTCGCGATTTCAAACGAAGGAAACCGAAGAAAATGTGATTGGTAAATGGAAGATTACTGCACTGCGGCTCGTTTCCAATGCATGCGTCGTAAGTGTTTCTGTATTTGGTTTCAAGTGTTAGGAATCATCAGCGCATGTTGGTTTGAAAATACAGTAACTTTTTTTTTTGTTAGGAAAATGAAAGTCTCAACAACGGAACACAATCAAGTCGGATTTTCATTCGGAGTTTGCATTCAGCTTTCCTAGTCTAAACAATTTTTTATCCTAAATATCTCCTTACAAACTATCAAAAATCATTTCATTTTTTATTCCTACTTCCTCCTGTCTGTCGCACTGCGTTCACGTTTTCATTAGTGTGTCTGTCTGCGTGTGTGTGTGTGTATGTGGTTGGTTTTTACTTAACAGCTAGTTGTTTTTTTTCTTAAGCCTAAAGCTACTGTTTTTTTTCATTTCAGCTACTTAATCCTCTGCATTTTTCTCCATTTCTCATCCTATTCTACTGCTACTGCTCTTTTTGCCTACATTTTCATTTCACCTACAGTTTTTTTTTGTTCGCTTAAACATATCAACTTGCAAAAACATTTTTTTTCCTTCGATCAATAATTCAATTTAATAGTTATGAAGGTGTGACAGACAAAAACAATAAAATGTAGCTCTTGTCAGAACGGAGATTTTCCTTACATTTTTTTTTTGTTGACGCAATAAACAATGACAACTTTGGAGCTGTCAATTTGACAGCAACTCAATGATCAAAGTAGCTTGATTTTTTTTTTCAATCATCTCATCGCAAACAAAAAATATGGAGAATAGTTCGGGAGTTTTTTTTTTATCGGTGTGCATTCGGTGTTGGATGCTTTTTGGGAAAACAACACATTCTAGGGAGGAGTTTTGCAAGTTTGTTTCCTTGCATTTTTGCTCATTTGATTTGTTTCTCTACTGTTCTTTTGTCTTTGTTCCGTAACTGCTTTTACTGGGATAAAAGGTAAATGGTTCCAAAAAAAGTCACGTGCGAAACCGTGCCACTTTCTATAATGGTTTTTTTGATTCATTTTTGTGTGTATGTTCAAGATTTTTCCTTTGTGTTTGTTCATTTTCCGTTTTCAGCTACGGGTTTCGTTTTTCTTTGCCGTTTGGGTTTCTATATATATATACCTTTTTTTTTTTGTTAGTAAAACTAAAGACCTTTCCTCTGCAATAGAGTGTAAATGTAATGGGTTCATCTTTGTTCAGTTTGGTTTGAAGAATCATCTCTCTTGCTCTCGTTCTCGTTTTTGTGAATGTATGCATTTGTGTGAGTGTGAGTGTATAAGAGTACAGTCGTTCGTTTGTTTTTATTTTTTGCTTTTGTGTTTTTTCAAGGTGATCGCTCCTTCCGTACTAAATGTATAAGTAAAATAGTCTGATTTGTTGTCTCTTTCGCTCTCTGCGTGTTTCATCACTAATCTTGATTGGGTTTTGTTTTAGATTTTCCTCTTTCCTTCAATAAATAAGAAAATATAGCTTAAAATATTAGTGATGACCAGAGGGTTGCTGCACCGTCAGACATTTATTTTGTTTATACAACTTCAACAATTAGCGCTTCTGTGTGTTTTGTGTGAGAGTGTTTTCTGTTAGTTTGCCCATGTTGCGTCTTTGCTTGCAGATTTTTTTTTTAATATATGTTCAGTCAGTTTTGTTCATTTTTCATAACTTTCTCATTTTTAATATTTATTTTTAATAAAGTTATTTATTGTATACTTTCCTTAATAGTGTTCTCGTTAAGTGTTTTCGAAGATGGAAGATTCTCAAGTTGTCTTTTCATTTTTCTCTAGTTTATAGTTTGTGTGAAGTGGTTTTCTTTGTTTTTTTTTTGTTCATTTCGAATAGATTCAGCAGTGATTTTTAGTACAGTTTATAAATCAATGACATTTAGACAAAAGTATAAGTTTGTCAGTTTAAAGTTTGGCGATTTAGTCTCTTTACACTACCAACTAAAGTGTGGTGAACGAGGATGGTTGTTCCATGAGAGAGGAGGCGGATCTGGAGGGGGGGAGGGAGACTCGGTTTTAGTACAATCAGCGGTCGTGGGCTGTGCCGGAAAACGAAGCGAAATTTCTTCCCCTTTCTGCGGGCCAGTGTGCACTAAAATTCCTTTAGTTTGGTATATAATTTGAATATTACGTTACTTACGTTTAAAAATCGTCCCTGAAAATCGAGAGAACAGTGAGCGATACGACACACCTATGAAAAAATCCTTTCCTTCCGCTTTGCATCCAATAAGTAGATATATTACAATCATTATCAAACAAGTCTCCAAGAGTAGCTAGCAAAAAACGAGATAAGTGTGTATGTGAGTGTGATTCGTGGACTAGAGCGTTGATTAAGTGGATTAGTACACCTTATGAATATTTCTCTTTCGTTTTCTTTTACCTTGTCGATAAATAAGCTATACAATACAATATTGATGACTTTCTCTTTTCCGTCGAATAAACAAACAAAAAATAATATTCGTATCACAGTTTGGAAATACTATCACATAGCGGTTTTCCTCTTTTCCGTTTTTTTTTTAATCATTTATGTTCTAAAATAATAATCGTCCTATATTGTGTATATATGCAATAAATAATCGATAAATCGCTTGATTATTACTATTAGTACACACCGGTTGTCGCAGTAAAACGGACACAACTTTAGGGCAAGAGATTCGCTCCGATAAACCTTCACTTTCGTTTTCTTATCTTAGTACAGACCCCTGCTACCAGTTGTACTAAACCCGCACCAACTGCGGCGGATGGCGTATACAGAGAGAGAGATAGAGAGTGAGAGGAACTGAATTACAGTAACATACTGAGTTGCACGCTCACGGTTCAGCAATTTCGATCGCGCATTGGGTGGGACAGAGAAATAAGTGCGGACACCTCTCCTTCTTCTATTTGATACACTCTGATGGTTGGGTACTAAAATGGGATTTAAGTCTTGTTTCCTGGTGACGTCACTTCTTTACATTTGTTTTATCTCACTTGACGAGAGTTACCCTTTTTTATTACGTATAAAACCTAATGAACAGTTCAGTTTTGTAGTTCAGGACCCGGAGAGTCCTGTCTTCTTCGCATATGCCTTCTTATTTTTTTCTTCAACTTCGAACGTGAGCACTCCAAGTGCTAATCTTGTTATTTTTTTTTTTCGTTTTCTTTTACCCGGGTCCAAACCTTTACACGCATTTGTTGACATTGATTTCTCGAAAATATATCATCTTGATTTTTGTTTATTTGGTTGCTGTAGTTGTTGTTGTTGTTGTTGCTGTTGTTGTTTTTGCTGTTGACTCGTTTGTTATTCCTTTAGATTTGTTTGTGATTTCTTATTTGTTTGCTTTGTTTAATATTCCCTATATAGATTTCTGTTTTTCTTCATTTTTCGACGAGGTGAAAATAACAACTTTCCTCATACATTCATATTTGTCTCAGTTTCTGTGTTTCGCGGTTTTCCTTCTCGCACTTTATTTTCGCTTGCATTTGCATCACTTGCTCGTGCTTGCATTATAACAATTCGACAAAAGGGGACTTTCAAAAATATTTGTGTAGAAAAATTGTTGAGTTGAGTGTTGTCTCTTTTCTTGTTTTATTTTGCTTGAATTAGCTTTTAAGATTTCCGTTTTGTTTACTTAGCAGCAGTTAGGTTTAGCTTTTTCCGCTATAGCACTTTTCATCTGTTTTTAAATTTAGATTGATCTTTCTTCTCGTGTCGTTTGCTCGCATTTTAGAATTTTTGCTTTCTCATTCTTTGATGACGTAGATTTACGCTGTGAGTTGCGTGCAAGGGTGCGTGCTTGAGTGAGAAAAAAAATACCATTTCAGACGTGTTTTTTTTTAGATAGAGAGAAAGAAAAATTGTGAAAGGCACAATTTTTGCTGTTCATTTCTCGGAAGTTTTGCTTGATTTGTGTGTCATCATTTGTGTTGCAGCGTATTCTCAGTGACTGACTGTTTCTAGTTTGCTTGAGCGAATGTTGCATGGGATAGAATGCGCGTTGAAAATCATGCTAAAAAAAAATGAAACAAAATACAGATAAATTAAAAAATATGGGCGAAATGAAGGAAAATATAAGAAATGAGACAAAACTATATTTACCTGTTGATAAGGATAAAGCGGGATCACTCCGGAAAAGATACGGAACGAGCGAAGAAATGGTACATGAGCAACACGTGTCTTGTGGATTCGTTTCCAATGCAAAAAATCTTGATGAAGATAAACGGCAGGCTTGACGAAACCCGTCAAATTCACAGAGTTCAGTAAACACTCTTGGCCCTATGAGCTGGTCTGCCCTCACTCCGAGAGAGAAATAAGGAAGAAGCAAATAAAAACTCACCAAGTGAGAGGAGAGCGCTCAAGCGAGAGGATGAATTGGCATGTGGTGCTCTCTGGGAGCCTACGGATTACGTTTTTGTTCGAGATTGAGCATCCCCGATTGAGCGTACAGTATATCCAGAGTGAGTGAGAGCGGGTGAATGAAAACATGAACATGCGAATACTCTCGCAGAATCCGCATGAACCTTTCCTCAGTATTCTCTAGGAATTATCATTAGAATTCAATTCGCTTTAGATTATTCTGGGATTTCCCTTGGAACAGGCTTCAAAATTCCGTTGGAATTATGCCCTCAGAATTAGATACCATAGGATCTCTTCTCGGAATTTTTTAGGAACTTTACTCGGAACTCGTATGAATGTCTTTTCATAATTCATTTAGAATTATCCTCAGAATTCTCTGAGAACTAATAGTAAAAATACTTTCTTCCCTAATCTCCCTTGGAAATTGTCTCTGAAATATATTGGTGTTAGCCCTAGAGTACATTCTAAAATCTCCACAAAATTTCTAAAATTCTCTTAATAATGTTTCAAAGTGACTATAATTAAGAAAACGCAGGACAAGTACACAGAACAACCGGGGAAGTGATATTGAGCTACAAATTTCTCTGAACATGTTCCATGTTTTTCTGGAGCTTCCACGAATGTGTTCTCGGCTTAAGCCTGGTACGCAGCTGAAAAGTAATGACGTTTTTATGTGCTACCGGATAGGACACGGAATGCAAAAGAAATTACTTTTCCTCAGCATTTCTTGACCCAGTACGCAGTTCAAAAGAAATCGGATCTTTGATCGATTACATTAGTATCGTGATCGACATGAAGGTGGCGCATTCTGAATGCAATTTCACTTTCCTTCCGGAATAATGGTCTGATCAATTATTCCGTTAGGTAATGTTGGCGTTTATTGCAAAACTGATGTTTTGGATGCATTTAAACAACATAAACACTAATAAGTGTTGATTTTACAATTTGACCACATCTCCCTATAATCTCAAAATTTAGCAGACTATAGCTGTCAAATTTAAAATTACTTTTCCGTTTTCTTTTCAGCTGCGTACCAGGCTTTAAGCCTCGTACTTCACCGTGAGTGATAAGTTGTCACTTCACCGTGAAGTTGTTGATATGGTATAAACCAGACAATTTCCTCGTCTTTATTTTTAACGTTGGCAGATAGAAAGGAGAGAGAAAAATGAGCTTTTGTTTAAGAGCTGAGAGGTCGGCAGCGAGCAGCGTTATTTTTCCTCTGTTCGGGACCTAACACTACTCCGACCAGTAAATTGATCTATTGTAGTATATCCCGTGTCCTTAGTTTAGTGTGCATGTCACTATTGAGAAATGATGAAGTATTCGATTTTTTTACAGTTGCCACTCTTGCATTTATCCGAAGACAACAAATCAAGAAGACTGGCAACTTTGCCAGAATCCAAGCGACAGCGCTGCGCTTGGGTGAAGGTGGAAGCAACGCATAGAAAAATGAGCAAATACACAAACCCTTCTTCTGAGGATGTAATCTTTGCTATCAAATTCGTTCGAAGCATTTACCTTTGAGCGGCAGATGACGCGATTGTACCTGTCTCATAGCGTTCGTATGAGAAAATGGAAGAGTTGCCAGTCTTCTTGATTTGTTGTCTTCGATTTATCGCAAGGATCCGACTCTCAAGCCCACGCACATTAGATCAGGATCGGACGCGTTGCTGCAAAGTGACAGCTAAATCTATTGTCCAACTGTCAAATTTACATCAACGCAACGCAAACGGATCTAATGTGCATGGCCCTTAATTGAAAGGTCCCACTATTTATACCCTTCGGAGTGTTGAAACACTCTCCAAGGGCGCGCCCCTTTGTCAGTAAAAATTGGATTCCTTAGCAACAAAATTAAGGTATGACCACTTCAAACTAGGGAACAACGAATAGAAGATTAGGAATCACATAGATGAAGACTAACTAACTCATTTTTTTCTTTGTTCCAAGATCATCCTCGGTAGACGAAGCCGAGTCTTGTCACTATCAACAAGGCATAAAAGTAACAAGGACTAAGATATGTTCCTTGGATTACTGAAAAATTCAGTTCCCGTAGTTTGAAGTAGTCAGGACTAGGAATTGGTGGTAGATCTTACATCCCGCAACGTACCACGAAAAGGTGATCTACCCACGTTACGGGGCAGTGAGCAGCGTTAGAAGAGAGCTTTCGCTTGGCAGTAGGATAAGAAGAGTTAGCAATCACTGGTTCACCAGGTTGCTTGGCAGTTAGGACGAAGAGGAGAAACATTATAAAATGATTCTGTATTGGAAAAGTTGATCAACATATATCTAAGTGACAAGTATTGGTTTTATTGTTTTGATTGTGTGCATATCACTAGGTTCTGGTGGGTGTACTCGGCGTGAGTTTTCACGAGAGTACTGTTCCCTTCACTGTCTTCGGTTGAGGTTGTCGTGCTGGTAAGTTGTTCGAAGTTTGAGAGGGAATTCCTCAAGACTGTTCGATTCTCCAGAAGTGACATCGGTAATAAGGGCCATTGTCTTCAGAGACCCTCAGACCTGCAGAAATTCATTAGGCCACCCTCACATTTGCAGTGAACCTGGCAACATAGTTCAGCAGACCGGTCCGACAACTTCATTCATCAAGGTTATTATAGGATAATATACGACGAGCTTTAACCCCGTAACTTCGAAGTCGTAGCGTTGCAGGAACTATGCTGGACGATGAAAAAGTGAGCATCAAGCGGCTACCTTCTACCAGAGCTGTGGCACCACCATCGAGTTGGGGACTGACTTTGTAGTGCTGGATGCAAGGAATCAAAAATACATATCTCCAAATGACAACATGACAAGCGATCAACGAACCGAATGATAACGCTATGTCAGAAGTGGAAAGCAATAATGATATAATCTTCTTCCTTTTTTTTCATGACAAGCAGCCCGTGCGACACAACTCACTCGGGGCGGTAGGAGAAAACGAGCAAATTGTTAGCAAGCTGCTTCACGAAGTAAAGCCGAAGATGATACACGTGTGTTAATGGGATTTTTTTTTATATGACTTTTCTCGATTCAGATCAAGCTAAGCGTATATATTGCAACAAAGCAGGCTACCACTCCAATCGAGCTATTTTAAGTGGACCCTACACGTTTGCTTTTATTGACAATAATCGTATTGTCAATACATTAAATACTGACGTCAATACATCGGTATTGACAAGAATTCTGTATTCACATCATCAATATTATGGTCAATAATACGTCAATATATTGATACGTGTGGGGTTCGCTTTACAGAGCGAGTTTGTCATGTAATTTTGCCTGTATCGGTGGTTGCTTTTTATGTTTGGATTCGCTGGCTGGATGAGATGTACCAATGCAAGCATGTGCAAGCTGATGATCAAGGGCCGTTTCTTCAACTACAACATCACCTTCTTGCGAGACCCGACGACGAAAAGGAAGCATCGTAAATTGTAATTGTAAATGTAATTTGGGTCACAACGTAAATATCACATTATCAACATTGAAATACCAGCCAGTCAAAAGATGTTTTGCCTTACAAATCAAGTTATTAAAGCATCATTCCAATCTTGACCAGCATAATCGACGTCGTAATTACTTCGGTCGTCCTAAGCATCATTAACGTGCCACCACTTCACACCAGAAAACTCCCGTGAAGGTGACAAAAATGCAATGGAAAAAAAAACCGACTGGAATAGCTAATGATACCCACAGGGAAAAGCGGAAATGATAAAAAGAAAGTACAAACTACTTACACGTCTTCTATGCGCTCTACCTTTGCGCAATAATGATTCCCCTTCCATTGGAGTTTCTTCTTGAATTACAGCTCCGTACCGGACCGCACAGTTTTCCAGGAAGGAACTTCCGCTTTTCCACCGCCGGCGGCAACGCGATGGCTGATTGATTCTTGGGACACTTTCTTTCCGGTTATTCTCTTGCTCTCATCTCATTTGTATTCCTTATCCGTCGTCGAAACAAAAAAAAAATGTTTTTTACAACGTCATCGACGGAGAGAGCAAATTTATCGATTACTAATTAAAAATGAATTAACCGCGAATTTGTGTTTTTGCTTGAATCGCTTCGCTTCATCAGTGCAGGGTGTAGCATCCATTGCCTACACCAACACACACTGAGTCACTTTTTTATTCAATCGTTTTCAGAAAATTTTCCTTCGTGCTTACGGTTAGATTCTACTACAAAACAAAAAAAAATCAATTATTTTCCCTTCCTATTCGTCCTGCTTTCCATTGCAAAAAAAAAATTAGATCTCCTATCTGACACATTCATTCACACCTCTTGCATTCACTTTCTGTTCCTCTGCTTCAGCGCGCTTGCTTTTCATTCTTCGCCTTACAAACAATCCAGTTTCTGGTTTCTTTTTCTTATCACTTAAAAACTACAAAAAATTAGAACTAAATCAAAAAAAAAAAAAATCTTAGAAAAGAAACTTTTAATTTGATAAAACTGCCTATCTCTTTTCCGTTGTCCTCGAGCGCTTATCTGCTCATCATTTTTCATCTCTTCTTTCCACTGTCCTTCACACTTTGCGAACCACTTTTCAATTCAATGTGTGTGTGTGTGTGTGGCTGGGTGTTTTCATGTTCTCCTAAGTTGTAAATTTTTAAATCGGTCTATCTAAGAACTAAAAACTAAAATTATGAACTAGCATTCTTTTTGCATTTTCTTTCCTTTCGTCCTTTCCGATCCGAGCGCTTGCTTGCGTGCAACATGTGCCCCTCGTATTCTTCGATTTCACAGTTTTATATAAAAAAAATGTTCCTAACCTCAAACATCTCATTCCGCACTCTTTTCTTAACCAACAAAAAATAAATTAAAAATTTATCCTAGAAAAAAGCAACTCTCTCTAAATTCTTTTCTCTTGCAATCTATCAAAATCAGAGGAAAAATTGGGAATCATTTCAGCGGTTTTCCTTCCTAGCTTCGCTACCTTCCTCATTTTTTTTTTAAATAAAAGACTCCTCCGTGCTCTCACTGCACAAATAGTTGTTAGTCAGTGGAAGCCGTTTTCGAGAAAATTTCCTGCTTCAACTCTTTTTCGTTTTTCTTCTATTTGGTTTCTCGCTCACTTTTATTCGCTCTCATCGTCGATTTTATAGGAAACTTTATCGTTGGTAGTTTTCTTCTTATTTTTTTTGCTTGATTTCGAGCTTTCAATTCTCTCAACAGACGTTACTCTCTGCTGCCGCAGAGAGAAGGTGAAATAAATAAGGATTTTCTTGAATCAGAGGGGACAAGGGGAAGTAAATAATAATTAAAAAAAGCAACTGTAAAAACTTAACAAACAAAAATAGGGACTTATTTCCGCTGAATTCTTTTTTTTTTGGGTATCTCGGAGCAGAAGATTTCATACAATAAAAGAATATCCCGCATTTTCCACCTGCAAAGTGCGTGCCAAATTTTCGACACGTGAAATTTCACGTGGAAACTACGTGACGAGTTTTCCGAGTGCAGTCGGTTTGCTTACAGCGGTTCGCAACCATTTGATCAAGTGCGTTCTGTTCCAGCGGTGCAAACAAACTGAATGAAACGGTTTCCTGATTTATTTATTTTTCTGGGACATTTTAGTTCAACAATATTTATTTCTTATCGTTTGGAAGAAATGTAAGACAAATACTTAAAAAAAGTAACAGTCATTAACCAAAATCGATGTTCACTCCTGGTGACGATCGGTGGTATTGGTAGTCTAAACTGTTCGCTCATAATTCCAGCAAAACAAATGTAGTAAAGAACATAAACTTTCAACACACACGCAATCCTGTAAAGCAGGTCGAATTCCTCCGTTCCTAGGTTTAAGCACACGTCTTTAGGTTCGTCTCATGCATCGAAGTTCGATTTCTCGTTCTGGAATTCTCTGAATTGTGTTTTTTTTCAAGTCTTATGTAAAAAACAGCGTTATGTATCTCGTCTCTGATGAGGTATCGGTTTTTCTTCTCTGTGTGTTTTGTTTGTGTGTAATGTGTGTGTGTAAGTGTTTGTGTGTGTCTGTGTGTGTCGACTCTCAAGGCTGCTCTGAGAGTTTCTGAACCCCGAATGTCCCAAATCCCTTAACAAATGTCAATTGCTACGGAACCTTTTGTGTCAAAGTTCACTTACGATCTTCTTCTCTGTTTGGCATTACTATCAGTTAGTTGTTCCAATAAATTCCTCGCTTCAGAAATATTTCAACTTGCTCTCCCACTTTGACTTAGAACCATAACTGTAGATTTTGCTGTTGTTGTTGTTGTTGTTGTTATCGGTTGAGGCTGTTTCTATGATTTTGTTAAACTGAGGCGGCGGATTTTGCGACGACGACGACGTAGCGACGATGACGATGACTGGAAACTACTACTCCTCCTCCTCATACTTCTTCTTCTTCTTCTTCTTCTCCAACTGGCGGCGGTTGCGTTTGTGATGATGATTCCCGTTCTAGATCTGGTGGATGGCACCGGATCCGGGACTCTACTTCGGAGCATGCTGATACTGTGTGGTGTATGCCTCGTCCGGAGAGGCAGCCGTGCTGACCTGCTCCGAGTCACCCATCTGCATCGTGTGGATGATCGACGGAGTGGGTGCGTAGTACGGGTATGTCGGACTGATGTACTGTAGTTGTGGGTGTTGTTCACGGGAATTAGATCTTAGCCTCGCCCAGTAATCGGAAATTGACTCTAGAGTACTTACCGACGATCCAATCTGTAGCGTTGTGAGCTGCGGCATCATCCCGTACGGGACACCTGCCGCCGGGTTATCACTGGACATGATCATCGACACGCCCCTTGGCTGTACATTCGTGACCGTATCCGTTTTGTAGGGCGTACCGACGCTAAGATGTGGTGCCTGCATTTGCATGTACTGCTGTAAATAAAGAGCCGAAATAAGAGTGTTAGGCAGATTTTTAAGATGATTCCCCACGCAACCAACCTGATCGTCAACCTGCGCCATCGGTTGGGTCATCATATAGCTCGGTACCCACTGGGAACCGGGAACGGCATAGCCGCCCACTTGCGGAGCACTGAACCGTCCGTACGGCATACCGATGTGGGCACCCACGTTCACGCCGATTCCGTTCTGCTGTAGGTTCGGATCATACGTCACCGGAATACCTTCGGCACCGTCACGCCAGGTCCGTGCGTTCGGATCTGGACTCTTGAAGGGGTTCTTTTTCTTCGAGCCACCGTCGGCGAATTTCACTAGCAGCGGTTCCTTGGCGCCCTGCAGCTGAGTACCGTTGAAGATCTGGATAATCTGTTCGCACTTTTCCCGCGATTCCATCCGGGCGAAACCGACACCTGTTGCGGGAAGGATACAAAAAGGCGGTTCGAATTAGACAAATGGCAACCGGTATCCTTAAATAATAAACATTGAATTTGACTCCGATTTACTGTTTTGGACAGCTCGTTTCGCATTCCATTAATTTTCCTCCAATCAAACTAATTCAAACGTGCGAGTAGCATTTGGGGTTTTTCAAAGTCTTGCAGCCCATGACGAATGTTTTAAAACCTCGACAAAACTCAGAATGTTGCATACTGCCGCACTTCACAAGCCCCTTCCATACACTGAACGAAAACATCCGCAATACATACTTCGAATGATTATTGCATTGGTCGAGCCCTTTAACAATATTGCCGATTGCCTTATGGTTGAATTCGTCATCGGCTGATGAGCATCCATATGACTGTCATCCAAATAAAGGATGATATTTATTGGTAAATTGGCTGTAAAACATACAGCACTCAGAGGACAACAATTTAAGACTACATTTCCATATTGAATATCCATGAACAGCCATTCCATCATGGATACAAAAATCGTTTGTTGGTATAAGAAACTTCCTCCACCACAAAATAGACGATCTTCGGTTCCAATGTTCGTACCACTTCTGATAGCGATAACAATATTTCCACCTCGTTTGTCAGCTCAGATCAGCAAATGACGGTCGATAGAATTATTTACATCATTGTTTTGAATAATTTGCGTTATGGGGCTGAACCAATACCATACGCATTTCAATTTGAGATAAAAATCATTCTACATAGAGCATTACATATTTCAACTGAGTTCCGTTCGCTTCTCGTATCAATGTTCATTCTGCATTCGAGAGGAGCATTATCTGATTACAAAACAACCGTCATACGGTTGCAGCTATCATTCGAAAAAGCGATTTCAATGTTTCGATTTGAATGGTCTGAGGTTTCATTCGAAAAGAGGATGATGCTTTGGTACAGTGTAGCGAAAATCATCAAGCCGATAAAATCGCATTTTACGTTTGCTTCTCACCATTGCTTCTAATATGATGGGACAACAAATTTGGCTGTCTTTCGAAACTTTTTTCAGAAAAAAGTTGTTGAGTTCATCCAGTATTACGGAAACTCAGTTTTGACAAACAATAGTTATGGGACCATTCAATGGTTGTTAAACACTACACAGACTAGTACGGACCAGTTCCCAACACATAATTGGTAATATGACTCGAAAGACTTGGCTCATGCATCGAAGGTTGTAGGTCATTTGGCTCAAAGTCGTTTGGAATAATGTCGTTTGGCATAACGGTCATTTGGCATAAAGTTTTTTGGCATAACAGTCGATTGGCATAACATTTTGAATAAACAGGAACAGTTCTTTCAAGTTGTTATATTCTTGGATTTCTGTGAAGAACTAGCCAATGGCTAAAATTCACATTAATGAAAAATAAAAAATGAATGTTCTTGATTGACCATTATGCCAAACATCCATTATGTCATATGACTTTAGGCCAAACGGCATTATGTCAAACGGATTTAGGCCAAACGTTGGACAATCGCATCGAAGGACAAATCTGCTGTAAAAACATTACCTTAAAATATGTTACCCACTGATATCCGAAAGCCTTTGAAATTTGACTAATTTATATGTTTTGAAGTTTTTTTTTCAAGTTTTAGAATCTTAAAATTTAGCTCCCGATGTCTCGGAATCTTGTAAATTTCAAGAGCCACATGTGAAAAGGGCATACAAGCTTTTTGTAAACAAACCTTTGTAGGCCCTCTTCTCGCCAACCGAGGGTCGCCCACGCAAACTAACAACATAATCGGGAAGGGGAAACCTTCCCCTATCCGGCGATGTTGATGGTTTGCGTTGGTGTCATATGGGTGGCGAGAAAAGGGCATAAGAATGTTTGTTTATAAAAGCTTGTATGCCCTTTTCACATGTTGTTCTTGATTTGAGTATTTGTAGAAATCCTTTTTTTTCTAAACTGGTGCTGTAAATTCAGCCTACTGATCATTCTTGTATGAAAATGGTTCCAAACGTAAACACACCCTATAGGTTTCTTTAAAGAGCCTGAATTTATAAAGATACGACATCTTATCCATTTGACAGGTATTCTGCACAATTGGAATGACTTTTCCTATGACTGACAGTTAATCGATCGTTCCAATTTTGACATGTCGTCTCTTTATAAATTCAGGCTCTTTAGGTTTCTTATTGCTTGTTTACGTTTGGAACCAGTTATGCGAGGTAGGCGACGACTGTTCGTATTTGACAACCACCTCCCTCCCTTGGTTCCCACTGAGTCGATTGGTATATTACGACACTCGGTCGCTGAGGGTGAAACCACTGGGTAGTCTTTAAGGGCTGTAAAGTGAGTCCGTGTCCCAGCGCTTTGTGTGAGTCGGTAGGCAACATGACAGGCACGACAGCAAAGCATAAATCTCGCGTAACTTTTCGAAAAATCCTAAGTAACAAATGTAAACAAATCGAGTTAGTCGATACATAGAGGTAACTCTAAGACTCGAAGAAAAGTGCTCAACTTTTTGGCTCAGCTCTGGTACTCTCTTCGGTCCCAAGCTAATCGATGCACCCCTCGAAACATAGGAAAATCCACGAATCCCTCATTTTATTTGTCAAATTTTCATAGCGAATCAAAACAAACATAGTGTATTTAGTACTAGAATTTCGACTAGAATGGGGTACATTAGTCAAGTAGTGAGACAATTTAAAATCGTTTGTTTCCACCGGTTGCCTCTACCATTGTATGTGATACAAAAACACTCATCCAAATTTATCTTAATTTATTTAAGATAATCATAGGTCAAAAATTGTCCAATGTACAGTTTGAAATTATGGGTACGTGATTGTTATTTCGGACATTTGGACTGTCTAACATGATTGGTGCTTATTTTCTAAAGGCAGGGCATGGAAAACAAATCTAAGGTACTCTATTCTGAATCTAGTAAAGTTCGCACTCGAAGAAAATACAACACTATCTTTTGTGTATAACTTTTTATTGCATGGGTAAAACATGATGAAATTATGAGTAAAACTAGTTCAGAGTGTAATGTTTACATGTGCAAAATCTCGTCACAATCGGTCAAGTGGTTATCGAGATGGCTTCCAAGCAAGAAATGCTTCGACACACAATTAAGGGCACGGTCGTGGAAAATTCAGGCCAGTTCCATAGGTGGATCACGAAACAGTTTGAAATCGACAATTCGACCGTGTCCCGTGTGGTAAAATCGTTCAAGGAGACCCAGACGACCCAGCGGCGAGCTGGTAGCGGAAGAAAAGCGAAGACGACCGACCCCGTGAACGCAAGGAGGTGACTTTAAGCGCAATCCGAACCTTTCGTTTCGGGACGTGGCCAAGAGGGCTTGGAGATTTTTATCGGCGAATCTCGCCTGGATGTTCCGGAGAAGTTCCGGAAGAAGAAGGTCGACAAATTTGCCTATCACCTTTCCGAAAGTGGTATTGGTTTGCGTGGGCGTACTTTGGTTCGTGTGTAAAGGGTCTTAGAGAGTTTGTTTACAAATGCTTTTGTGCCGTTATCTTATGTTATGCCTGATATGTACTTTGGCTGAGTCACGCAAATGCTGTAAAACTGCTGTGGCCAATTCAACTGATTTTAGCTCAGATGGTAAAGGCACAGCTACAAAGCAAGACCATGCTGGAGGTGGCTGGGTTCGCTTCCCAGTCCGGTCTACGAATTTTTCGGGTTGGAAAATTTCTCGAATTCCCTGGGTATAGAGTATGATTGTACTTGCCTAGGCTTACCATATCAAAAACTTGAAAAGGAGGACATTTCATTTGAGGTTTGGAGATTAAGGAGGACAATGATTCCTTTTCTTAACATTAAAGGAGGACAATGAGTTTTTATCAAACGTTTAAATAATATGTGCGCTATCACAAAATTCATGATTTGCTAAGGTTCAATTCATAACTTGTGGTAGATATTAATTTAATTCATCTTCTAGTTTTACTTCTGAAAAATGCATCAAACTAGCCTTCATAATTCATGTTTGATACTTGGAATGCTCTCGTCTAGCTGATTTGCATGAAAACTGCAGCTTTACAGCTTTAAAATCATCCCAGCCTTTATCATGTACAAAAATCAGGATACATGTCATCGCTGATTGAAACCAACATGGAACATCTAAGCAACCTGTTAAATTTACCAGAGAGTTTATCGAACATTATAACTTATTTTCGAAATGCCAAATTTAAGTAAAAATACAGAAAAATTGATGAATTTTCACTGACTCTTCGAAAATAATATATAATGTTCGAAAATCGATCTGTTGTTGATCGTCCGATTTTCGAGAAATTGATTGTCAAAATTGATTCCTGGTTTGTCTGAAATATGCAGGTTTATTTAAAAAAATTCCATCCGTCAAATTTAGGTTAAATTCACGAAATGGACAGCAGCCTAAATGTGGGGAGTTGACAGCTGTAGTATACTCCAAGTCCCACCATCGAATGGCATTTGCTAGATAAGATAAAGTTGCGACATAATTAAACAAATAAGCTCTGCAAACAACGCTTTTTGAAAACAATTTTATTAATATGTTACTGGAATTAAAAAGGAGGACATTTTTGGGCAAAAGGAGGACGTAGAATAATTATTGAAAAAGGAGGACATGTCCTCCTTTAGGATACCATATGGTAACCCTATACTTGCCACACAATTATACTAATGCAAAAATGGTACAGGAATCGAAAACTCTCAATTACAGGTATACTTCCATATAACTTAACTGTCACTTTTGACTTCCATCGCTGATTTTTCGTAAACGATCATTCAAACAAGCAAAGTTATAACATCATCGGACAGATGAGATAATTCCACATCTATTGGTAATATTAATTTGTATGATTCAATTGCTATTAGGGAGATATTGACGATGGAAGTCAAAAGTGACAGTTACGTTATATCGAGGTATACCTGTAATAACTGTGGAAGTGCATCTGAAACACTAAGTTGAGAGCACGCATTAAGCTAATATGCGATAAGCAATAAGCTTGAAATGCGAAAAAGAAG